ATAGTAGAGATAAAACGGTAGGAGAGCTGACAGGTGTGTCTATACGGAGGCTCTGTTTTAACTGTGCATGTGTAGCAGTTATTAAATTATATAAATTATATCAGCAAACAAATTTAAATGAAATAAATAATTTCGATATAATGTAATCTGCATTTTAATAAACACATGAGTGAGTGAGATATGTTTTGTGACGTGTTATACATGTTACATGTTGTTATGTGTTATACTGTACATGTGCAATATTTTTCTTATTTTTTGTAATAAAATAATGTGCTGTGGTTTTCTTTTCTTCTCTCTTTTTTTGTTTCCATTCTGTTTAAATGTACAGGAGTGCTGGGTGTCCATAAAATTTTCCCTCAGGGGACAATAAAATCGTATCTATCTAGTGTATATCATGATTAGATGTTACATCAGCTACAATCGTTTTTATACTGTGTGCTTGTTGAGATAGAAGGACTCATTACAGTCTATAACAGTACAGAATCATTTATATCTCATTTATATATACTGTGTGCTTGTTGTGATGGGTATCCTACAGACAGGACTCAGTACAGTCTATACCAGTACAGATTCATTTATATACACTGTGTGCTTGTTGTGAGGGGTATCCTACAGACAGGACTCAGTACAGTCTATAACAGTACAGATTCATTAATATCTCATTTATATACACTGTGTGCTTGTCGTAATGGGTATCCTACAGACAGGACTCAGTACAGTCTCTCTCTCCTTCCATCTTCCAGGTGAACTGAGGGGGAATAGTTCCTATCCTCTCAGTGAATCAGTGACATGCCTTAGAACAACAACCACCACAAAACAAATCAAAGTCGAATCACAGCAAAAGACATACAACACAACCTTACCCACTGGAGCACACACAAACACAACACACACTAAACAACACACACACAAACTGAAATACTACTTCAACTTAAATAGAGAAGCTGAGTATTTGACCAGGGTAAGAAACAGCAAAGAGGAACAGAAACTGAGGAAGTATTTCAGTA